CTCCTTCTCGCATCTCCTCCTCTCCTCATCCTCCTGCCTCCTCCTTCCTCCTCCTTCTCCTCCCTCCTCCTCCCCCGCCTCCTCCTCCTCCTCCTCCTTCTCCTCCTCTCCTCCTCCTGCCTTCCTACTCCCTACTCCTACTCGTCCTCCTCCTCCTCCTCCTTCTCCTCCTCCTCCTCCTCCTCCTCCTCCTCCTCCTCCTCCATTCCTTGTCCTTATAGATAACTTCTCCCTGTCGCACCCCGACACAATTTGTTAGGGCGGGACGGGCGTTTCGCTGGAGACTTCCTCACCAGGTATGACTCCGAAGCTGAAAAAGTGGCAAGAGTTTCACAAATGTGGCTCTCGCCTCAGCGCCACGCACATTCGTTCCAAAAGACTGCAAGAGATTCACGGATTGAGGGCGGGGTCGTTTTCAAAATGAGGCTCTCGCCTCAGCGCCGCGCACATTCGTTCTAAACAATGCAAGAGCTTCACGGATTGAGGCTGGCTCGTTCACAATGTTGTTCTCGCTTTAGCGCCGCGCACATTCGCTTTAACAAAATTGCAAGAGTTTCACGGGCTCCCATGAACAACGTACCAGAAATGGTAATTTCGAAAGATTCAGGAGCATGCGGGTGCAACAGTTCTGTTGGATCGCGGTGTCGAATTCCCAAAACTGCGTTCTGGCACGATTCCAAATCTTCAGGACGCACGCCACAGTCAGGTTGATCCGTGGCGTGGAAATCCCGAGAACAATGTTTGTCATGCTTCTCAAGGTCTCTAAGCGGTTATCCTCCAACGAGGCAGTTCCCTCAATGGAAATGAAGCGTTGTAGGGGCATGTGAAGAGGGAGCTTGGAGGGAGGGTTCATTACAACATCGTTGATAATTCTTGGGTTTACACTGGTCCTCCTCCTCTTCCTCCTCCTCCTCCTGCTCCTCCTCCTCCTCCTCCTTATCCTCCTCCTCCTTCTCCTCCTCCTCCTCTGAGTGTTTCCCTCCTGTCTAGGGGAGGGAGGAGGCCCCAAGAAGACCGCCTGCGTTCTTGGAAGCCCCCCCCCCAGCCTTCTTGGAAGGCCACCCCGCTCGCACTGCCCCCTTGCGCCGCCAGGTCGAGGAACACCGGACGGGATGGCACAAATCATACCATACCGTCGGCGATCTGGGAAGGGGGGAAGGCCCAAGCTCTGACCCCTCCAGCTCGCTCCAGAGTGAGGGGCAACGATTGGGGGGGGACCGGCTCGGGGGGAGCATCGAGCTTGCATCGGCGACACATCGCCGATAGATCTAGGTCGCCTGGCTTCGCGCATCGCACCCCCACGATGCGCGTCGGGGACGATGCGTTCACCCCTGAACATATCCCCCCTACGTTGCCTGTGGGTTTCGAGCCATAGCTCGGCTCTCTGGCGGCCGTTCGGGCGATCTAGGCAATCCTGGAATGCTCTCGGCGAGGCGCACCCGGAGCCGCTGGAGGCATCCCGGGGACAGAAAGCCGCCCAGAGCCGACGAAAATGTCCGAAGACCTCAGACACCTCGAGTTAAGTCGGGCCTGTCCCCCTCCACGGGGGATTTGGAGGAAAAATTAAAAATAGAAAAAAATACTCCGAAATGGTCAAGACACATTGAAAAAAAAGTAGTACCCACACTATTTTTTGACTACTTTTGAATATTCCTCCTGTCATGTAGAAGGACAGGCCCGACTTACACCTCGAGCCCATCACGCTGGCCCAAGCCCGCTCAAACTCAGCCCCGGGAGCCCTCCCGAGGTCCACCCGGGACCCGCTGCTCGAGGCGGGTCCCGCCGTCGCGACGAGAAGCCTGCGGGAGACCGCCCAAAAAAACGAAAACAACAAGAACCGCCGAACGCCGACGAGCTCGCCCGAAAACTTCAAACTTGAGCAGGGACCGGACCGACCGCCCCGGCATTCCCATAGGGATACCACATGTTGTTAGAACTCTGAAATGTTCCAAGAACAGAAACAATCAGAACGCACACCCGATGCGTCAGAACAGGACAGTCCCGGCCAGCACTGTTCCGAGAACCTTTCGTGGAAACCACAAAAAAAGTTCCTAGAACAGAATTTGGTGGCCTCTAGGCGCGCCCAGACACTTCGCCACTACTTGACAAACCTCGGATTGCCCCTGCCGATCTGGAGGCTGGCACGCCCGAGCGCCACCCCACGGTGGCCCGCCCGCGCGCCTCGCGGCCGACCTCCACGCGCGACACGGCCACGACGGAGACCCCCCCGCGGCCTGCCGGCCCGCCGCTGCACACGGCGACGTCTGGGCGCGGCGCGCCGCGCGTGGGCCCAGCGAGCGCCGCGCCTCAGGGAGGGTCGTCACCACCGTCGTCGTCGTCGTCGTCGTCGTCGTCGTCGTCGTCGTCGTCGTCGTCGTCGTCGTCGTCGTCAGTCCCTAGGAAATCCCGCCATCCCTCTTGGCGTAGGTGGTCTAAGGCGGTTTCTCTTCAAACCCTCTGCTTCCCCTTCGGGGAGGGGTCATCCTTGCCCCCACCCCCTCCCCAGGACCTGGACGGGGCGCCCCGCGAGGCGCTGGAGCGTCCAAGCTGGCCCAAAAACGGCTCCAAGAGGGCCTCGGAGTCCAAGATGGTTTCCAAGATGGCTCAAAATGCCTCCCAATATGCCCCAAGAAGTCGCAACACCGTTCCAAGACGCGTCCAACTGGCTGGGGAGCTCCCCAACGAGGCCCCAAAGAGGCTAAAAATCTTCAAAACCTAAGGGCGATCCATACGTTTGACTTTCTCGCCTTTCCGCGTTCGCTGGCCCTTGGCTCCACGATGGCCCAAGAGCGCCCCAAGAGGAGCCCAGGAGAGCCCCAAGACGGCCCCAGGAGCGCCCAGGAGCGCTCCAAGAGCGCCCCAAGAAGGCCCCAAGAGGCGCCCAGACGGCTCCAAGAGACGCCCAAAGGGCGCCAACAGGCTTCCAAGAGACCCCAGGAGGCCTCAAGAAGATCCCCGAGACACCCAAGACGCTCAAAAACGGTCCTGGGCCCGCCAAGATGCCTGCCCAAGCGCCCCAAGCGAAATCCGAGGAGACTCCGAGAGGTAGTCAAGAGGCTTCTGGATCTTCTGTTCGCCAATTTCCTCCTTTCCTCCTCCTCCTCCTCCTCCTCCTCCTCCTCCTCCTCCCCTCCTCCTCCTCCTCCTCATCCCTCTTCCTCCTCCTCCTCCTCCTCCTCCTCCTCCTCCTCTTCCTCCTCCTCCTCCTCCTCCTCCTCCTCCTCCTCCTCCTCCTCCTCCTCCTCCTCTTCAACTCCTCCTCAACCTCCTCCTCCTCCTCTTCCTCCTCCTTTTTCCTTTTCCTCCTCCTCCTCCTCCTCCTCCTCCTCCTCCTCTTCCTTCTCTCTCCTCCTCCGCCTCCTCCTCCTCCTCCTCCTCCTTTTCCTCCTCCTCCTCCTCCTCCTCCTCCTCCTTTTCCTCCTCCTCCTCTTCCTCTTCCTCCTCCTCCCGTTCCTTTTCCTCCTCCTCCTCCTGGGCACGTCGCTGCAACCATGAGTTGTTCACTCATTCCGATTGCCGACGGGCCGCACGGCGCACGGTCTGCGCCTCCACTGCTGGAAAAAATTGAGCAGCGAGCTCGTATGGCACTGGCGCGGGGGGTGTCTGGATGCGAATGAAAAAAAGGTAGGCACACGGGCAAGATCTGAGAAGGATCAGAGCCGGGCGATAAAATACCGAGACGGCGAATGGGACATTCAGGAACAAACGAAAGATCTTACAGCTCGGTAACAAGCATCCACAACCTTGGGCAGCACTAGTAGTGCACAAACGAATCTGGCGCATTGCTACATCCGCAATATCACATTTTCAATTCATTATCATGCATCCTGAAACTTGTAGACCACGCTCCGCTCAAGGTCCTGATCATTGCAGTCCTCATGGCGGGTGGCAGTTTGAGAATTCACTATAAACCACCCCACATGAGTTAAAGCTCTCTGCCGCTCAGGAAAAGACCAACGCCAACGGTCACGCCAATGCATATTAAGCGTCCCCCCAAACAAAGACGAACTCAAAACACCAGATATCGCGCCTTGCGTGTTCAGTCGTTTCCGAACAGACTGCTGTTGGGCGGCCAACACGTGCCTGGCTTTCGAAACAACGGCGCCCCCCGCGGATTTCAGGCGCTTCGAATTGGGAATTCCAAGGGCAGTTTCTTGCAGCTGGTCTACAAAAGGCAGGAGCCTCCCAGAAGCTCGGGCAAAGCCTTTGACGACCAATCTCTACCAACGAAAGGTTCCTCCTGGCATTTTTCTGTAGCACACTGATGAAGGCTCGCCGCTCCGGGGGAGTCATCCAAGCCGAGCGCGCAAGAGCCGCGGCACATGTAACTTCTTTACTTTCAATCCTAGGCCCCCCCCCCCCATGCTTTGAGCTCCACAAAGGAAGGCATGGAGAGGGCAGAGGTCGGCAGAGAGTAGACGGAAGCAAGAGAGGCATGTTCGAGGCGAGACAGAGATAGAGAGAGAGAGAGAGAGGGACACCAAGCAAAGAACGAGGGAGCAAGGAGAATTGGGCGACATAAGGGAGGGTGGGAGCGGCAATCTGGGCAGCTCGCCCATGCCATTTCTGGACTGGCTTGCGCCGGGCCTCGGAAGAAGCATCAGGCCCATGATTATACCTGGAAAAGTAAGCATTGCAATCCCTTGAAATGCTTTCCTTTGTGGGGCGTGGTTTGTCGGCCAATGCTCATGTCGACGCTGGGGCAGCGGTGCAAATTGATCAGATAGCGGCACTAAAAAGCATTTGCCAGCCCCCGCTTAAAGACGCGCAGGTCCCTCACAGTTGTCGAACACCTCTTTCATTTTACTCAAGTGCATCAGCTCTGTCAGCGCGGCGCCAATGTCATCGAAACATGCTGCGGCGGCTGAGATCGGGCGTTCTCTCCAATCTGGGCGTAGAACTGTTCTGAACTCCGACGCGACGGCGCAGCCGCCGATGGCGAACAGCGCGCCGGAAGCTGGGCAGCCCGGAAAAATGCCCGAGCGGGCGGGGCACGGCAGCCGGCTCTCTCGCAGGAAGACCCCAAAGCAAATAACACTCGCATAGATGCACCGAAAAAATCCATCATCGGCGGCGGCAGATGTAGACGGGCAACATTCTGAAAGATGAATTCGCGCGCGACTGAAGGAAACGCTTGGCCAGAGTTGAACGAGCAAAGCGCCGGTAAAGAAGCGGCCGCGGAAGCTGCGCACTGGCCACGCGTGCTCTCGCATCTAAAACGAGGAGGTTCACTCCGAAGCTGCGCCCCTAAACGAACCCTCTCTGCTCGCTATTCACGAAGGCGTGGAGCTGCCCGCTAAGGCGTTGGACCACAAAGCCCGCGAGGACCTCGTTCGAGGTCTGCATGAGTCCCAGAGGCCTCGTCTCTCCAGCCGCCCTTGCCACCTCCCCCTCGTCCGCCTCCCGTTCTCCTTTCTAGCCAAGAACGCCCCTCATACCTAGTTAGACCGGGGGAAGCAGCGAGTAGTTTTTGAATACGGGCCAACGCTGGTGGCAGGAGGTCCTTCAGAGAGGCCTCGGGCCTGAACTTATCTAGATACTGGGAGATCTCCGCCGCATCAACTTTCTCCCCCGGCCGAAGACCGCGCCCCACTGCTGGCTCAGCAGCCGCGGGGCCAGGCCAGAGTCGCGGGCGACGGCCCCGCCGCCACCCCCCAGGCCTCAGAGGGAGACCTGCCTGCCAGACGGGGCCCAACGTTTGCCTCGAGCGATTTGACCTTTTAGTCTCCTCCTACGTTTGCTCCTGGTGAACTCGTTCGTCGCCGTCGCACTCTCCTTCTTCGCAGTCATCCCCCCCCCCCCCCGTTCGCCATCCCTCTTGAAATCTCGTCCGTCACTGAGGCAAACTCGCTAGCATCGATGAGCGTGACCTTCTCCCCGACTGGGTCAACGCGTAGACGCTTCCTGCCCAACGCGGACCTCGACCGCACTGTCTCTCCAAGCTGTAAGTCCTGGCGCCAAAAAGATCGGGCGACGCCCATTATCGCGATGCATTAGGAGGAGAGGCCGCTGGGAGAGTTCCGAAGCAGCGAATTCCGAGCAATCCGAGCGGCCTCCTCTATCATTTTCTCTGCGGAAGCCCTGGGCCAGAGGGGGGGGAGCTGGTCGGAATCAACCGTGTCCGAGATTTTCTCCAGGACCTCATGGTACCTCGGGTGGGTGGAAACTTCCTGGGGAAATCTTTGATAATGTTTTCCTAACTTAGAAGGCCGATTGCTCGAAAAAATACTGCAAGCGGGGCATGGTCGCTGATGCCCTCTTCGAACAGCACCTCAGGGAGCTTCTGCACCTCTCCTGATTCGACCAACTCCGTGAAGATCCAACGTGGACAACGGCCTGCGCCTTTCACAGAAGTGCGTCGGGTCAGGAACTTGTATTTCAACCATGGACCCAAGGGCCCCCACCAAAATCTTGTACTGACCTTTTCTATATTCCTGGACAAAACTGCGCTCTCGCAGTCCCGTAGATATCCCCTTGGTTCCTGACGTCCTCTGCGCGCGGCAGCTGGTCGGCGAAATTATAAAGTCGCCAGTCACAACTACAAGCATGGTGTCGGGGGAGGCCTTCGGGTTCTGGAGATCGGTCCTGGCGCACTCAGCGACCATTTCTTCTGGTCAGCCGTGAGGCCGAAGTTGTGGATATTAAACTGGTCCATCCAGACGTCCCTGGAAAACTCAATTCTCAAGTTGAGGACGCTCTCCTGGACCAAGATTCTGGAACCACATGCTGGTTCTTCGCCGGCAACTGCCAAAACTTCGGAAAGCAACTAACAACTCCCCCAGCCCGCGATCCAGAGCGAGGCTGGACCTTTGACAAGGGGACCAATTGGTGCTGAGCTCCCGTTTTCAATTTGTCCCCGAAGATGCGGGCCTGCGGCTGCACGCTGCTGAAAATCATGCGCGCCTTCCTGCGGTAAATCAGGTTTGACCATCTCCGCGTTTTTGCTACCGGAAACACAAATCTCACGCAGTGCTCCATCAACGCCTGCTATCTCAAATTTCGCGTAGCTTCCATATCCCTTTTGGCGCTGTCGAACAAATCTGCCTGCATATGCGGATGCGAACAGCATTATGACCGCGAGCCGCTTCCCAATGAGATCTCCATCAGTTTGAACGCCGGCGGGGGCGATGCTGTCCCGCCCCAAACATGGACCCAGCGCTCGAAGTACGTCATTCTTTGCCAGCGAGCCTTTTGACCAGATGGCCCCGATAGTGGGGCCAACCTCTCTGTCGAAGGCTGGGTCCTGCGGCGGGGGTACTGGACGCTCCTCCTTGATGTCGACGAGCTGCTGTCTGACCCGTGCCAT